AGCAATCAGCACCATTGGAAAGTGAAGTGACAATAGGCTGGTTTTCTTTATACAGCCCGTTTTAAATTCGAATTATTGTTATAATAAATTACAATTATTGTTTGTTTCCACTTCGGTCAACCGCGCAAATTATTTATTAAAAAATTGTCGTTTAAAAATAGCAGATTTTGTTTACTTTTGAATAAGACTTTATCGAGTGCGCTATAAAGACAGGGGTATAAATGCTGTAAAGAAATATATGTTGAGTCCAATCGGTTTTTTGCTAATGAGGTTCTTGTGTAGGTATAAACAACGCATATTAAAAAAAAATACCTCTCCATGAAAAAATATCGTTATTTTCGTATTTAAAATTAATCGGAATTTTATGGGGGGTTATAAAAACTCGTTTTAATCGAAACATTGTTTTTTCAGCTATATTTGTTATTATTTATTGTCCCAGATGTAAATATTGAATGAACTAACATATTTTAAATATTTACGGAACTACCATTTGTATGCAACCCTGCCTATCCTATATTCAAGTAGATGTAATTCGAAAAATTTTAACGGATTTCTTCAAATCAACCTGAGCTGCGGACATATTGCGAATTCATTTTTAAACATTAACCACTACATTATATTAGTATTAAATACTTTCAATTAAGAAACAATTCTTATTAGAAAATAAATATGAATCGTTTTATTTTAAATATTCCAATGTATATTTTTTGTTAATGCAGATAGTGCGGATTTAACGTATTTTATACCCGTTACATGGGGAACATAGATTTAAGGCAGATTGCTATTAACAATTTTTACACAATTTACGATTGCAATCAATTTCTTTCAATACTATAATCTAAATGATTGCAGGTTGTATTTCTTACGATCAAAACAGATTCCAATATTAGGTATATTATGCAAATGCAATCCAATTTGATTTGAGTTATTCAGTTTTAGATACATTTATATTTCTGTGTTCGTATGGAATAGTAGTTTATGTCGGGAAGCTGGCTTTAGTATAATCCGGCATTCCCTTTATTATTTACAACACAAGGAATTTTTTGATGACCCTTAACAAGAATATGGACGTGCTAGTATCGGAACTATTTCTTGCACGTTTATTTGCCAAAATTTCTTCAACGGCTCGGCGCCAGTGAGGGTATGCTGCGAATGCCGCATTATACTAAAACCAGCCTTTTGACATAAGCTACTATTTCATACGAGTGGGGCACGTGCGAACTGCGGATTTTCCCAGTTGCAGTACTGGAGTAACTCGACACCTTCCTCACCAACAGCTCTGTCCTCTATGAGCTTCTTAATGTAACTGCAAATAAAAGAAGGAAATTTAAGAATAATTACTATCACAGCGTTTCACTTGTAGCGTTTCACTCTTGTAGTATATTGGCTATCAAGCACCAGAAAATTTCCATCACGCATTCCATATGCCACCGATTGTCTTGGATCAATTAAAATACTGTCATCACAGCTTTTTGGTACTCCAGCAACTGGTGTGTCTATGGCGGAGTTATGTGGAGCTGTTGCATGACTAAAATCAATTTGGACTCTTTGAGAATTGGCTTGTTTGTTGCGAGAGCTATTGGCATCAAATGTATGCAAATTAGATTTCCAAACGAGCAACTGTTGAATACAGGAAAAAATTTATATTATATGGTTCCGCTAAAGTGCACTACTACCGTGTATAAATTGGTCGACCTTCTAATAAATCAAGCAATCTTATTGTATCGTCATCGCCGCCAGTCACCAAGAAATTTCCACTTGGGTGAAATGCAACATCATTCTCCCGCGACGAATGCACTGTATTAGCTCGCCTTCAGCTATGTCAAATATCTTAACGCGGTTACAACTTAATGCTAAAGCCACCAGATTACCGTCTGGATGTCATGCCAGCTGTCGTCCCATAGCTCTTCCCCCGGTGAACGTTCGCACACATCCGCCTGAAAATGTATCGCAAATTCTTGTCATCGTCGCACGATGAAATTAACTTACCATTAGGGCTGAATTTTGCTGCGCGCACCCACTTTTGTGTCCAGTGAAATATGTGTAACTTGAATCAGTATTTTGATGGCTGTTCGCCATTTTTCTAGTCTGCAAACGAATAAGCTGACGAAGATGCAAACAAATTCAAGCACATTGTTGCATTCTACCGTACTTTTTAAAAGCTTTAAAATCTTAAAACATATGTGAAAGACTTTTATAATCTGAATATTTCTAATGTCGCAATCAAAACGAAATTTTGTAAATAGCATTTTTAAAAAGCAATCATATAATATTTTTCAAGTTTTTGGTCATATATGTTACCATTTGAATAACAAATGCTACCAAGTTTTAAGAGACTATTTAATGCAACTCAGGTCAAAAAAGAGCAGTTTAGACCAAAATAAGCAAATCTAAAAAACAGATGATCGCAGCTGTGGCCCAGGATGACGTCTATTGCTAAGATATCTCACTTGTATTTGTACACAATGACTTGTTCTCTCATTCCGATCACACATCCAGATGCAATTCGCGCAAAATTTTCTGTTTCCCCCCGGGCATAATTACCTCACCTCATTTACCCAACGGTTTGCACATTTGCCCGCGGTTTGCATGTTTGGGCATTTTGCCCGTATGTGCACATTATGCCCATCGCTATCTTAAAAGATTAAAATTAATTATAATTTTTATAAATACGTTTTTATACATACATATGTATGTAAATAGGTGTGTATTTATATTTTACTTAAAAATCGGTATGTACATACATGCATATTTAATTAAGCTTAAAATTGTACTTCCTAGCTCTTGTACTTCCCCAGCAAAAAACACGATTACCACAGAAACGAAAGTGGAAACGAGCTAGGCGATGGGAATCGCTTACCCTTTCGCTTCAAGAAGGCCTTATTTTAACATGGGCATGCCATTGGCGGTAAGCCCTTACCCGCAGCATTACCATCAAACGAAGGGAGAACGCATGGATAACCAGAATCCAGAGAAGCGAACAAAGAATGCCTCACAGAGAAACTAATGTAGAATGCCTAGATAAGTAGATACTTATTTACTTTAAATTGAAATCAGAAAATGTCTTGAAAGATTAAAATTAATAAAAATGTTTATAAATCAGTTTCTATACATACATATGTATGCATTTAGGTATTTAGATTTTACTTAAAAATCGGTATGTACATACATGCATATTTAATTAAGCTTAAAATTGTACTTCCTCACTCTTGTACTTCACTTCATTGACTGACTTGAACTTCGCTGCAAATTGAACAAAGCAAAACATGATTTTTATGCGAGACAAATTTCTACAGAAAGTAACGGTAGAAAAAGAATTTTTGGATATTCATTCTATTTTTCATCTGACTACGATGCAGCATTCTACTTTGCATTCTCCGAAATGGAGCAAAGAAGTGAAATAAAAAAAAATATTGTAGAACATTCTACTTTGCATTCCCTGAAATGAAGCAAAGAAGCGAAATAAATAAAATATTGTATATATATCTACTTTGCACTACCGGCAGTGCCTAAAAGAAGCGAAAAAATCGAAGGAATTATAACGCTATGCCTTCTAGAACACGTTACCATTAGAAGCGATTACCGATTTTTTGCTGGGACACTTCATTGACTGACTTCAACTTCTCTGCAAATTGAACAAAGCAAAACATGATTTTTATGCGAGACAAATCGTCGCCTGGGTAAAATAATGTCGTATATCACTTTTCAAGATTTTCGGGAAAACGCGATTAAAGTTTGGATATCTATTATTCGAAAACGCAACGGTAGATTTTCCTTAAAATTTCAGGGATTATTGACCATTTCATAAACAAATGAAATCAATAACTTCTGTATATGATTTATTGATAATGTGGGAGTTATTGCGAGTTTTCTTCAAAGTGATTTTGTCGTATATCACACTTTCAAAATGCATGCAAAAAAGACCTTACACATACGACAAAATACTATTGAATATTTTAATAGTCAGAAACACAAGTAGTAATTTATTTTAGTAAAACAAAACAATAGAACTTAACATAAAAATAACTTGCAGTACATGCTTAAAATAAAACCAAAGGAACATAAGTTTCAATATAAAATTCAGTCTGATGAGTTACATAAAAATATAATATTTAAAATACTAGCCAGTATTATTTATATGTTTAAAATGGAAAGATACAAGTTTTTGTCTTCTTCTTTTTCTAAGAAGGGAAGGCAACTTTGTAAGTCCTTTCTTTTATTTCTATCAAGTGTTTTTTTGGGTTTAACTCGGAGATTGTGTTCCCAAATCTTTGTATTTTATTGTTATTTATTGCTGTAATTTGACGGTTGGAAAATGTGCATTTTTGAGCAGCCGAATTAAACACAATTGGCTGGGAATTTCAACGTTCCGCAAACATTTTTCAATTGTGCTATGAACACTATCAAGCCGCTGTAAAGAAGAATGTCCAGGCTCGCCAATTTTTTGCGAAATTTGTTTGATTTGTGGGTGATCGTGCATAAACGGAAGTATAGCAGTTGACGTAATTTTATTACGATTTTGAGGAACGCAGGAATCACTTCATAGTGTTAATTTGATTAGCTCGGGGTGGTCACTAACAACTTCATTCAGTATTTTTATTAATCCACTGGCGATATCGTTTCCACTTCTTCCACTTAATGTCTCATTCCACAAAGCATAGTAAGTAATCTTTTCCAGACCGGGTATAATCAGGATACCAGTAAGATTTTAGACGCTAAGCTTTCTTTTATAATAGAAGCTGGATGCGAACATCTTTGGAAGTGTAAATACGTTTTCCAAGTCATACATTAAAACAGCAGCATTTGTATCGATACTCAGGAAGTCAGCGTCCCGTTCGGCAGTCGTTAATCTTTTTTATACCAAGTGCTTTTCATGCAACTGTACTTCAGCTTCAGAATAATTGGCTGCATTGACCATATACAGTTGACATTTGTCGCAAACGTCTTTTCTTTGTATATAAAAAGAGAAATTTGATGCATGTGTGAATATATTTCTGTATGTGTAGATGCCAACTGGGTTATTAACGGCGGTCTTGTAAAGATCAAAAATTTTTTGTACACTTAGATGGGCTTTTAAATAATAAGTCGAAGCTCTACAATAATGTGATTCAATTGTTGGAAAGCTTGAAATGTGATTCTTTATGTCCATGATTTGATTTTCATCTGTGGGTTGTCTTCCACGCTTATAAATTTTAGATCCGGCCTCGACAGTATTAACTGCATTGTGTTTTGCAAAAAAGTAATAGATGGTTCTTTCGGAGAATGCTAAAGTGCTCAACAAGTATTTTATACAGACTTGAAAAGTTTTGTTGACTACGCTGAAGAGGTAGTGAAAAGATGCCTGCTTTTTAAGATTGTCCTTTACTTCCGAAGTTCTTCGGCGTTTGACAGTTTCCCTTTTCACAAAATTTCCGTAGAAAATTTTTGTTCCACCCGAAGTTAGAGTCCAAAAATGTGAGTGGATGGTTCGCCTTTGCTCTTCAGAAATATTTACAGTGCAGGTGTAGAAACAAGAACTGCTGCAGGTCGACCCCATTGTTCTACCTGGTCTTTGATTGCCGCTTTTGTTCGAAAAGGGTAGACCACGTTTACGAAGACTTTTTCGTACATTCTGCTTCCACAATTCAGGAACTCGTTTTCGTTTTTTTGCAACAGGAGACAACAAAGCACGCTGAAGGAATAATTTGAGAGAGAAATAGAGATTAATTTTTAGGTAGCATATGTATACTTACATGAGCTGTTGTAATTCGACGGTAGCTGCAAGACTTCAACAGTATTGGAAGTAATTGGCGAAAAAATATTGTAGGCGGGTTTATAGAACGTTTTTAGTGTCGATTTAGATTTTGAGTCATAATTGGGATCATTTACTTCGTCATCTGGTGAAAAATCGCTGTAACTTTCATATTCCAGTATTTCATGACGCATTCTATAACAAAAGTCAAGTCATTAAATGTTTTCCAATATTACAGTTACGAGTTTTCTATAACACTTACGAATAAATTTCCTCCGATACACTCGGCGCAGGAGAACCGTCCGAACGCGACGACATCACGACTGATACTGAAATTACTACAATCAATGCATTTCACCATAATACATACGACAAAATTCTACCAAGCGACAACAAAATTTTGTCGTATGTGTCAAGCAATTTAGCACATACGACAATATTTTAATTACAAGAAAAAATGGTTAAATTCTTAGGGAGAATTGTCGTATGTGCAAAACCGTCTACACATACAACAAAAAACGAAAAAGTCGCTACTGACCATGGATATACGACAAAATACTACTGAATATCTTGGAGAATAAGCGAGATATCGACAAACTGATAACACCAATCGAAAGATCTTATTTTAAAAAATATAACTTCATCTATAACTCAAAATCGTCAAAATGGCGCTTACGATAATATTTTACCCAGGCGACGAAATTTCCACAGAAAGTAACGGTAGAAAAAGAATTTTTGGATATTCATTATATTTTTCAGCTGACTACGATGCAGCATTCTACTTTGCATTCCCCGAAATGAAGCAAAGAAGCGAAATAAAAAAAAAATATTGTAGGACATTCTACTTTGCATTCCCTGAAATGAAGCAAAGAAGCGAAACAAATAAAATAATGTAGAACATTCTACTTTGCATTCCCTGAAATGAAGCAAAGAAGCGAAACAAATAAAATATTGTAGGACATTCTTCTTTGCATTCCCTCAAATAAGGCAAAGAAGCGAAACAAATCAAATATTGTACGACATTCTACTTTGCATTCTCCATTGCATTTTCCATTTGCATTGGAGGGGCAGAAGTTTTCAGTTTAAAATAGTTCGTTATTTTTACAGAATGCATTCGGCACGTAGCCCTTTTTGTGCTGGTGATTCAGCGATACTGAAAA